TTGCTGGGGTGTGTCTTGCTGTGGTGTGATGTTGTGTTGTGTTATGTTGTGTTGTATGGGCGACGCAATTTGACGACGAACCCTTCGCTGAAGCTTTCGGGAACATTGCTGTTTGCAAAAAACTTCCCTTAAGTTGAGGACCCCGGGCCTCCCCTCCGAACCTGCTGTAGTCCGAGTTTCACCTCCCCCCTAAACCAGCAACGTCACCACCTAACCCCGTAGACCCTACCCATAGGCCCCTCAGTAGTTCCTTTTTGGGAGTACCTTATAGGATTCTAAATATAAACCATGAAAAGGAACTACTCAGGGGCCTATGGGTAGAAACCCTAAACCAGCAAATTTACCGCCTGAACAACGTTGAACAGGAAACTCTGCCGCGCATCTGTGGCTAATGGTCCCTCTGCGAAAAGAGTGGGGTTCAGTCGCGGGCGTCCTGGCCTTTAAGGCCACCAGGTCGTGGCGCTGGTTTGGGGCTATTCCAGGGGCGTGAAACCCTAAACCCTAAACCACTACTATAAAGGTCTTGGGTTCATCACGCTAGAAAGAAGTGGATCTATACGGAATCCGACTACCATTCATATTCGCCCGACCCCTGGCTGAAAACCCTAAACCCTAAAAACCTCAACCTTACAGCCTAAACCGTGTTAAATGGCATCTTGAAAAGTTTCAAGGGCTGACAATTATGGCTTTGGGGTAGGGCTTCTCAGCGCCACTTAGACCGAAAGTCCTAAAGTTTAAAGCCAACCCCAAAGCTTAGAGCATAGCCCCGCTGATTCCCTTCGCGCCCGCCAGTGCTCTTACGCTGGAGTGCAGCTGGACACAACATGACCCTGAAGTGCGCCCAAGCGTCCTTGGCCAGACTGTATGGTGTCGCGTAACCAGCGAAAACCCGATTTGGGTCCGCCATGGCTTGGATGAGTAAACGAGCCACGGCGAGGCTCCCGTGCTCTGCAGCCACGTGGAGCGCAGTCATTCCTTGTCGGGTTCTAGAAGGCCATGCAACTACCATTAATCTGACTAACTGTACCGTACTGTAGCACTGTGGATATCGCAAGGAAGAATGCATGTTTAGCTGGTTTCGGAAGGCTCTCTGGCTCGCTGATCAGAATTCCCCTGCCATGAACAATGGTTATTCCCTGGCACATTCTGAAATCAATCCGTGCTGCGACTGTTGAGGTATATGGTAATACGACGGCACATCCATGAGTAGCAGCACAAAATTTGATTGTCTCTGTGTCTGCATTTGATCTGGCAGTGGGTTGTGGTTGCGATTGGTGCCGTCGGTCTGGTCATTGTCGTCATTGGAGGTGGTGGTGACGGTTGCTGCAGCAGCAGCTGCTGCTGCTGCTGCTGCTCCTACTACTACTACGACGACGACGACTACCATCGCTACTACGACCACGCTACGACGACGACTACTACAACGACGACGACGACTATAATACTACGCCTACGGCTACGCCTACGACTCCGTCGACGATGACGACGACGACGACGAGGACCACGACGGCGACGACGACCACGACCACGACGACGACGACGACGAAGGCTATTGCACTGTGACTGCTACTGGTACGGCTACAGATACTTCTACTGCGCCTAGAAAGACTAGAACTACAACTCATTATACAACCAAACAAGAAGAACAAGTAAGAACCATAACTGTATGTAAATGAAACAGTGATGGAAACTGCAACAGTACAACAAGAAAAATAATAATGGGGATGGCAATAGAACGACTCATTATCTAGAATAACATCAGGATTAACTTTTGTAATTGCAACAGTAACAGCGACAGTTACTGCAAGAACAGCAGCATCAAAAATAGCAAAAGCAAGCACAAAATCAATAGTCATCGTAATGCTATTACTCGATTCCAAGATCATGGCCATGCACGACGAGTCTGTCGGAAAAAATCAGCCAGCCACCAGCACTTCACTTCTACTTTTCCTGCCCTTTCCCTGCTTCTAGTCTTGCTGCGGTAGTGAAGTTGTCGGTCATGTAGTGCCATCTCATGTGGCTCAAGCCCAGCGAAACAAAACTTGAGGTCAACTAAAACTCGACGACGACTCCAAACTCAAAGTCTGAATGCCTAAAGCTCACAACCCGAAACCCTAAACGCTGTTTCAAGTAGGACCCAAGCTTCTGGCGCCATTCAGGCGATCAACATCATCGCCATGGTCCAGCAGTTCGCGGATGACTTCGGTCCGGTTGCAGAGGGCGGCAACGTGTATCGGGGCATCGAGGTAGGCAACGCGGCTGAGGAGGTGCTTTTCGGCTCCCGCTTCCAAGAGAAGCCTCACCACTTGGGGATGGCCTCCCTGTGCGGCCAGATGTAGTGGCATAAGTCCTTAGCTACCCCTGCATCAGAGGAAGATGCATGTGAGAGCAACTGCAACTGCTTCTGACAAGTACAGCCACGGCAAAGGTTCTATTCTATTCCTTTAATAATATGATATACATATGTCATATCATAGTACAGTATACTGAACTATACTATACTAAACTGTATTGTACCATACTATGGTAAACCATTAAGCATTCGATTACATCGCTTACACCATAGTACACTCTACTCTACTGCACTGCGCTACACTTTATCATAACGTATTGTGTTGCCCGAGCTGCCAGACTCATCGCTTGTCAAGTTCGGATCTTGCGGTCGGCTCAGAATCAGCTCGGCTTCCGCACTGGACCCAGTTCGCGCTGCAGAAAGTAGATCATCCACCTCTTGCCTCCCGAAGGGTCCAAGTATCAATATGGTAGCAGCTACCCTAAACCCCAAACCCTAAACCGCTACTTACTGCCAGAAGGATGTATTCTGAACCCACCCAGGAGGATATGCGATACCATTACTTGGACCCCTGGGGCCTTGCAGCAGAGATGAATGGTAGTAGGATTAACTGCAGCGTCAAGGGGCCAGAAAGCTGCAGCGAATCCTAGTCTGAACTTGGGACCCTAGCACAGATTATAAACAAAGCAGTTTCTTAAGGATCATAGTAGCCAGATATCTTTAAAACAAAAACATGTTTCTAAGTACCCCTAAGAGTCCTCGAGAGTGCAGCTTCCATCGTTCACAAGCCGTTGGCGGAAGCGTGTGGCCGAACAGCGAGGCTCGAGGTAACCTTGCTTGGGTTTAGGGTTTCAGTGTTACCTAAACCCCCCAAAAGTAGGTAGAATAATGGCCCAAAACCTGTAAAGGGCCATTATTCTACCTACTTTTGGGGTCCAGGTAAGGGTTTAGGGGCTAGGGGTTAGGGTTCGGCTCGCAACATTTTAGGAGGGCACAAAGGAAGCCAACTATAAAACACTATCCCCAAGTGCCACCCAGGAGCGCTTCAGGCTTTTGACATCCGTTATCCCTTCGGCCCCCTCAGTTTCGCAGGTCATATATGGTCCCCAGGCCCTAAACCCTTGAAGCCACAAAACCCTAAACCCTAAGTCCCTAAACCCCTAATAGCCCTAAAGCCCTAAACCCTTAAGCCCTAAACCTTAAAACCGTCACAACCCTAAACCCTTAAATTACAGGAACCCCACCCTTTTCACCCGCTAAGCCAACTCATCGGCGAAGTGTCGAGGTCTTCCAAGGCGGCAACCTCTGATCCCGAGACGTGAAGCACTCGCAGCATTCCGGGGGGTTCAGAAACGGCGAAACCCTGCGCTTCAGAGTTTAGGGGTTCCGGGTTTTGGGGTTTAGTAAGTTTGGGGTTTTGCGGTTGAGGATCTAGGGTCTTGGGGTTCAGGATTGAGGGTTCCAAAAAGAATGAATCCCTGTGTGAGCCTTGCAAACGGGATCCTAATATTCAGGGTTCTTCTGTGGATAGCTCGGCTCTTACAATTTAGGTTTCTATACCTTCTAAAATGAAATTCTGGTATCTCTAGGACTCTTCGACCAGGGATGCCATGTTTTTTTCTGACACCCCCGGAGGAGCAGGGCGAACCTTTCTTCGTGCTTCAACGCGGAAGCAGGAGAAGTGCTTGAGCCCCAAGGCCGAGATCGCGAAGAGCAAGGTCCCTTGCAGATCATGACTTACTAAAGTTATGTGTACATGTAGATCTATTCTGTGTGTGTATATATATATAGGTATGTGATAAGATACATTGACAAAAACAAAAACGCAATGTATATATACACGGAGATAGAGTCATGATATTTGTGTATATTCGATATCGATGGGGATTGCTAAGATCAGAATTCTACTGATTCTTCGACCTCCAACACGGGACAAGAGCAGCACTAGCGGCCCACTGGCGGTACAAAAGCCACAACGACCTGTGTCCCCCACACCTTACACCAGAATACTATCAGACCAAAGTCTGTCATCTGCAACGGTTTAGGGTTTAGGTTTTAAATTTTAGGGTTTTTTAGTGAAAAGCTGACTACGAGTCAGCATGCGCGTTGATATTGATTGATAACAGTCCTCTTCCTTCTCATCCAAAACACGGTTACGAAAGACAACGAGTTCAAGATCACACAACGCTAGAATCCCAGAGCCCTGAAACTATATCCTGAACTCTATTGTTTAGGGTTTAGGGGCTTAAGGGTTTAGTGGTTTGGGGCTTAGGGTCTAAATCCTGAAGCCCTCAAGCCCGAAAGCCTAGAACGAAAAGGCTCCCTCCCGTCTCTTGAGACTCTTACCCATAGGCTCCACAAAAGTTCCTTTTTGTGGGATATTTAGGATCCTATAAATAAGGTAATCCCAAAAAGGAACCACAATGGAGCCCATGGGTACTTCATAGAAAACCAAAGCTCTGAAGAGTTGATGTAAACCTGAGGCACCAGGCGCGTAGCATTGAGGAGCCTTGAAGAGAAGCACTGTCCTTATCGTAGGCACATACGGTTTAAGGCCTTAGGGTTTAGGGTTTCAGGGTTTCAGGCTTAGGGTGTAAGGGTTTAGGGCCTAGGGGTTTAGGGTTTAGGTTTAAGGGTTTAGGGTTTAGATTTTGGGGTTAGTTAGAACTGTTGTGAAGGTATGCAACACGTTACGATTCCAATATCAGCCCTAAACCGCGAACACGGACCACACGTCAAAAGCTGTCTCGATGTTTTGAGTCTGGTTCGTCCTCGATGCCTCGCAGGATAGCACTTCTAAGTTAAAATCTGTAGCCTACAAGTGGGGGAAGAACGGTGCCTTTGTCTTTAGACGCACACACTTCAGACTCTTGATTTGGAAAAAAGCTGCAACCTTTAGACCTTAGCTAGAACTGTTGAACACTAACCCCTCGAACTCCCGTGACAACGACAATGAAAGCGAGAACGACGAGGACAACAACGACGACGACCACAACGACAACGACCACAACAGCAACAGCAACTGCGACACAGCAACGGCAGCAGCAAGCAGCCGCGGGAGCCATTGCAGTTACGACAGCACCAAGTTTAGGCGAGCAGTCATCATACCGACAGTCACGTTTGTGACCACGTTCCTAACCATGCGAATGTTCATTCCACAAAGAGCGACAACAACATCTTACAACTTCAACCCGTCCAGCCAACTGTTGCAAGAAAAGCCGATTGCGAACATCAGTTGGACAGCACCCATCTCTCCAGGAGCAGCCAAGCCGTCTCGCCAGCAGCATGACTCCCGCACAACAGCAAGGTTTGCAGATTTATGGCTGCAACTATATTGAAGCTTCCAGGATTTGCTCAAGGATTGGAGGAGAGACTGCGAAAGTAAGGTGAGATTGCAGGCAAACTGCAAAGGAGCCTGAAACAGCTTAAACCCTAACGCCGCCGTGCGTCGTGCCCAGCGATACTACAAGAACCACGTTGCGGTTCACGAATTCCAAGCCTGGCTGCAGCCGAGAGAGAATAGCGGGTGAGTTTGTGCTTTTCTCTCTCGCGTGTTCCTAAACCCTAAACCCCTAAACCCCTAAACCCTTCGCCTAAACCCCACGAGAGGCTTGGGGCTGGGCGGACTTGGCACCGGGTTGCTTACCTTAGGTAAACCCTGCAACTTCTAAACCCTGTCCCCAAGTTCAACCCTCAACCGCCATTAGAGTCAAGTCTGCCAGCTGGGACATTCATTCACCCTCAACCCTAAAACCTAAACCCTAAACTCCAAACCCTAAACCCTAAACCCTAAACTCCAAACCCTAAACCCTAAACCCTCAACCCTACAACTGTAGTGGGGAGACCTGCGTAGCTCAAGTTCACTGCGATCCACCCGACGCCAGATCTCAGGCCTGATCAGAGTTTACTGTAGCGACTCGGGCTTCCGACTGAGAGTTCAGGGTGGGTGGAGTGTGAGGGTGGGTTTAGGGTCTAGGGTTTAGGGGTTTGGGGTTTAGGGTTTAGAGGTTTAGGGTTTAGGGTTTAGAGGTTTGGGGTTTAGGGTTTAGGGGTTTAGGGCCTTGGGGTTGATGTGTCACCCTGGTTTGGAGATGTGAATACGTACAACGATGTAGCTGTAGCTTGCTTGAGGACATGCCTCTTCATTCCCGGGATGCTGAGATCTTTTGCTGCGGGAGCTCGGCTGAGACGCAGATTTCAGGATTTTCAACATTCAAGGTTGGAGGGCCTGACGGTTGCGCTATTTCACGGGAGCTGGAGGTTTAGGATTTAGGAACGTAGCACGCCCGGCTAGGTTGGTGTTGTGAAGCTGCGAATTCCAAGGCCCTCCCTGTCCTACGAGTAGCGCATGACTCGTTACAACTGGGAGTTAGGATTAGGGGGACCCTTTGGGGATATAGACCCTCTCAATAAGGTCCCCTTTAAGACCACAAATAGGGTTCAGAAGGGTCCCCTTTAAGGGGTCTCCCTAATGCTATCTCGGAACAACGAGGTCCTGCATGAGCCTCGTCCACCGCCCGGTTGCAGCACTGACCCCAGACGCCACCAGAGACATAAACCTCACCCCTAAACCCTAAGCCCCTAAATCTCTGAAACACTAAATCGCCAAACTAAACCCCTAAGCCCTCAACCACTAAAGCCCTGACCCTAAACCCCTAAATCCCTAAACTACTAAACCCTAAACCCCTCAACCGTTAAACTCGAGACTCTAGCCCCAGGAATAGGGGAACCTCATAGTCGACTTTGGGAACGGTCACGGACCTTAAGCCCCAAACTGCTAAACACCTAAACCCTAAACCCTAACCACCTAAACCCTAAACCCCCAACATCTAAACCCAAAACCCTAAACGCCTGAACCCTAAATCCTCACTCCCCTCCTCCGTCCTTGCCCACTCAAGGCCTCTAACTCACCCGAGTTTAATGCCCTGACGGTCCAGCGCTCAGGGCTTCAACGCCCACCCCGGGTTCGTTAAAACAGGGCTTTGAGGTTCTGTACGATGCTTACATTAAGGTTTAGGGTTTCGGGGCTTAGGGTTTAGGGTTTTACCCTGCTTTTGCGCTCAAACACCCTAGTCAGCACGAGGCCGCTCTATAAAACCCTGCTGCAAACAACACCCCGTAAGTCCTGAACCGAATTCTGCATAAGCCCCTTTTCTGCACAGGCCCCGTTTTGAATCCTCAACCCTCTGACACAAGGAAAACCCCATAAAACCTTAGTCCACTTACGAAGGCCCCGGCTTGAATCCTAAACCCCTAAACCCTGAACCACTACACCCTAAACCCCTAAACCCCTAAACCCCTAACCCCTAAACCCTAAACCCCTAAACCCCTAAACCCCTACACCCCTGAACCCTAAACCTGGTTCTGTTCAATGGGTTTCTGGTCGACAGCCGATCTAGGGGCCGGGATAATAAAAAGTTGGCTTTGGGCTTAGGGTTTAGGGTTTAGGGTTTAGGTTGGAGGCCATTCTAGTTTTGCTATGATAAGGAACCCTATTGGTGTTCAGGGTTTAGGGAGGCCCCTATCTATCCATCGGTCCGTCTATCATTCTAACTATCTACCTATAGCTATATCTATGTATATTTCTATCTTCAACTACAGATATATACATATAGTATATGTATATACACACTTATACATATACATATGTGCGCATTTACATAAAATTAATAATAATAATAATCCCAACCGAGCCGGGCCACGTTTCCGAGGGTGTTGTCGCACCGGCGCTCACGCGGCGTCTCGGCACCATCCTGAAGAGCGGCGCGGTTAGGGTTTAGGGTTTAGGGTTAGGGTTTAGGGTTTAGGGTTTAGGTGGGCTGCTCTTCCGTA